AGAAGGAAACTACAAGGAAATAAAAAAATTGGAGACAATTGTCTCCGTTATAAAATCCGCAAAAAGTGAAATTAAAGGGTCTAGAAAAGTCCAAGATCTCTAACAACACTGATCTCAATTCTTAAAGTGACTTCTGCTCTTCTTTGCATCATTTGATGATATTCAATGAATTACTTTCAATAACACATAAAAGATATAAATTCCTAGCTTCAAAAAACTTCAAACGATCTAAATCAGGGTTCGAAACCATCTAAACTAGGGTTCCCTAAAGAATTGGCATCAAAATTAAGTTTAAAGACCCCTTCATAAGTGTCGCCCATCCCCTTGGATCTACATTTGATAAAGGCGTCATTTCATCTAGACTCACATAACATGTTTCATAAAGAGAACGGAACCCTTGCCTTATTTTAAAAAATATATATTTTGATAAGGCTCCAGTAAGGTGTGCGGCCCTCCACGCCGCCCATTAATTTAGATGGTCCATATCTTTTCCATGAGTGAATAAGACAAATTGGGGCACCTACAGCCCCGGCTTATATAAAAGTTTACTTTTTATTTTTGATTTTTTTATTTCATAAAAGCCTTCTACCCTCCCACTGAATAGCTCCCCCTCTAAATTTCCTCTCTGATTCTCTCTCTGCCTCTCTTTCCCTTTAACTCCCTCTCTGATCTACTTGAAAAATCAGAAGATTAATTAGATTTGCAGCTAATTCTTTGGTATTCATGATTTTCACTCTCCTCTCCCCACATGCTTCGCAATCTCTATACTTCTCTCCCCCTCTCTCTTCCAATTGCGCAGCGTGGGCTATAATCATGGGTTTCTTTCTCTCTTCACCATGCCTTCTTTTCTTACCAATAACCGAAGGGAGAGGATCGGATTATACGATTTCTAGTATTAGTTTTTAAATTTACATGCAATAAATATACCTGCAAAAGCAAGATGATAGAAATGGTAGAGAGAAGGCTCTGCTTTAATGCTCTATGCATGATGCTTGTATAGCCTGTCGTGTTTTTTTAGAGTAGTGGACATACACCATCAAGAAATTGCAAACAACTTTCCTTCTCTAAAATTGGAAACCATATCTACTTTGTAACTGTTCCTTGCATGTGAATTACTACTTTTGGAGAGAATTTGAATACCTCCGAAAGATACTGCCTTTTTCTCTCACAAAGAACCAATCAGTTGATAGGATTCTATAAATGGTATGGTAGTGCTCACAACTTTATGAGAATTTGAAAGTCCTGAGTTTTGGAACTTTGTTGACGATTGGGGACCAACTCCAATAAATAGGTAGAAACGGCATCGTTTGGTTCCCATAAAATCTGAGCAGTTTGTTAGTTTGTAATATTTTGATGCTGAGACAGAGTCAATGAATGTGAATAGAATTTAAAGTAAATCAATGTATGGTTAGGCATGTGGGGTCTGTCTTGTCATTACACTCTTAAATTCAGAATAAGCAAACCATATAACCTACAATTATCGACTTTATGCCTTTGAAAAGTCTTGCAACGAATTGAATGCGCAGGGCGTGCTGTGCACCGCTTTCCAATTCTTCATTCAAAGTTGGTGTATAAAGAAGAAGGGACCCGTTTTTGCTGCTGCCTTCTTTCCCGTCTGCACCGTCATTGTTTCCGTCTTGGAGCCCATTATCTTTCACGTTGACGTCCACGTTGGAAGGCAAGTTCTTTTGTTATTAGATTCATTGAAAGGGGGAGAAGACGGATGTATGGGTCTATCTCCGGACCCATATGGGTCCAGCATTTGGACCCGACGGGTAGGGTCCAGGTGCATCTCTACTATTCGAAATAGGCACGGGTTGGGTACCGAACCCAATGGTCCTAGTGGGTCTGGGTACAGTTACAGATATGGGGTACTCTGGACTCTTCGGCTCTGGGTCCGGGTGAACCGCGTACATTTCCATCTTGTACTGCTCGAGTCCAGGGACCCGACCCGTTGCCATCCCTAAGGATAGATACCCTTAATTGCGGTGTTTGTTGACCTAAGTCACTAAACGATACCTAATGTTTAATTAGCTAATGGCACGTCTTAGATCATGATGATTAAAAGTATTTAATATATTTGTTTTTATTTTTTTTAAATTTTTTTTTTTATTGCTTGATCAATTCTATTTTTTTTTTTTGACCAAAAAGTATTCTATTCTTAGGGGAGTGGAGCGTCCATTTACTCCCTGGGATAGAACCCTACCTATAATTAATTTTAGAACCCTGATTTTTTAGGATGTAACCTCACCAATACTTACCCATGGAATAATCTCAAAAAAAGAAAAAACCTTTTCATATTTTACTTTTTTTATGAATAGAGACCATCCAATTTTCAATGACGAGATCTAAGTATAAAAAAACTCAAATTTTAATTTTTTTTTTTTGATAATAATCATCTATTGATTCTTAAGCTGTTCCCAAAATTTCTTATTGAAAAAATCCTCCTCTCTTGTGCGAGGGAATAAAATTAAAGTATGCTCCCGAGGGAGCATAATACACATCCTCTCTAATATTTCTTCAATTTCTTATACTTACTTTTACTTTTTAGTGTGCACTCATTTACACATTTTTGGAAATAAATATTGAAGTAATTAGGGCCTGCCAGGGCCCATGCCAGCCCCAGCCCTTGTTTTGGTTCTTTTTTTATTTATTTATTTGCTTTTTTCCGGCCCAGGCGTGGCCCGGCCCGTTGCCACTTTTTTTTCTCTATGTTTAATAGCTTTTTTCTCGGTCATCAGGCTCGCCCAATCCAATAAATAATAGGGCCTGGCCACAAACTATTATTTTATTACTTTTGTGATTTTCTGAACCGGTAACGTAAAAGGAAAATATTAAAACTTGAAGCAAGAAAAGAAGACCAATTCTTAAGATATCCAATTTAAAAATGCGACAGGCCTGTAGTTTAACAAATGCATGAACTTGCGTACCAAATTTGGTTTTTTCTTAACAGCTTGGGCACTGTATTACGATGATGTGATGTGATGGATGTCTCGCGCCCCGGTATTTAATAGGGAAATTATAAAAAATATACATTACTTTTTGGATTTTTGGAAATATGGTCAAAAGTTAACAAATTACCATTTTGAATATTAGAATCATCGTTTTGAATATTGGAATCTTGAATAACAGTCGATAGCTTTAAAAAAAAAAATCGGAATCTTGGATAGACAAGGGATCCATATAATTTGGCGAGATTTAAATGGGCGAAGCCAAATGATGAAAATATCATGGTTATTCAAGCGTAGCAACACAAAACGAGGGTTTATAGTGAAAAGCATTTTCAACATTTAGTCTGTCTGACTTAATTGGTCTATTTGGATCATGTTAAGGTGCTCACACTGTAAAATAATTTATCATTGTATTCAATAAATTTTAAACATATGTATACCATCGTTTTATATATGCAGTATTTTTTTAATAAAGATATTTTTTATTATTGCGAGGGGTCACATGGGGTGTGATATCACCTTGGCATTTAATGCTTCGATGGTTGATATCACACTCTACGTAGATGATGTTACACTTCTCATAATAAAAAAAAAAACTCTTATTAAAAAAACACTTTTTGTACAAAACAATGGTATAAAAGTATCCAAATTTTATTGAGTACGATGATAAACTACTAGTGACCACCCAACATAACCTTATTTTTTTTTAAAAAAGCACTTGAGTTGAAATGAAATTTAAAGAGTAATCATCATAATAATAAATGGAATTGTCTTACCACCTTAATAATTTTATAATATGATTTGACCGGTTAATTGATATTTTCCAAACACATAAAAAAAAAGTGGTCGAGAAAAACTTTTCATTACATAACTTCAATTAAAGATGGAAATACATTACACCTGATAAGCGACTCAAAAATATGCCTTTGGGCTTAGGTATGCCATATTTTTCAAAATTCTCAAAAGGAGAGGTGCGACTTTCTTCTAGAGTAATATACGTCTAGACATAAAATAAATAAATAAAATAAAATATGGGTCAATTTAATTGTCTAAGCAAAGTCCTATATTTTGGTACGGTTGTCGACAGATCATAGGTTCCCATCATTAAACCACTCATATTTTGGTGTTACCACACTTTACATACATGTACTCGTGATTTTTACCAAAATTGACCCATTTTACATTTTATTTATTTACTTTGTATCCATACATAAGTTACTCTTCTTTCTGACTTTTTGCCCCCAGATCATTTTATGTTAGGTAGCAGCTGCCCTTTCAAAATCACCTGCGAAAAACTCATGTGACCTGTGTCTTTTCATTAAGTGTGTTGTACCCTCCAATAAGGACAATTATTTTTAGTAGGTGTTGGAAAAATGATCAGGAAAGCTACAGCATGAAACTCACTATCTACTCTTTCCATGTCTACAGTGTGGTGGGCATAATTGTAGTTATTTGTGGCCTTTATTTTGTGCTATGGGGCAAAGCCAAGGATGGCATGATAGAACAAAAGGGGACCGCGAATAATAATGTGGCGATAAGGAATAACCCTACAAATGGTGGGACATGCTATGTGCATGTGGACTTGAAAGAACCTCTGCTGGACTGAGTGTTAATGGGTTTGTATGGGGGAGATAATGAATGCCATGGAAGTCCTCCAAGACCGAAAGGGCAGACAATTATACTGAGGAGGCTCACAAGCTTTTGGGTTGTCGTTCCAAAACTGGTTTCTACTTTTGATTACCTTCTCTTTATGGTACGGAAGCTTATGTGTAAGATTCAGGCTCCTATATGAGTGTTTTATATTTATTTTTATTTTTTGGAAAAAATTTATATAAAGATGCAACTTTATACTGAGGAGGCTCACAAGCTTTTGGGTTGTGTCGTTCCAAAACTGGTTTCTACTTTTGATTACCTTCTCTTTATGGTACGGAAGCTAATGTGTAAGATTCAGGCTCCTAGATGAGTGTTTTATATTTATTTTTATTTT